ACCTCATTAAAAAGCTTAAAGCTATATGTTAACCCCATTCACAGTTTAGAAAACTAAAACTCCGTGAGGTGACATAATTTGCCTGCTGCCACATAGCTAATTGGCTAAACAGCATCTTTTTCTCTGTTTTTAGACAATATTGTAGAAATATTCAAAATTTTCTTATGGTCTTGTGTTTATAGAATTAAAGTTTTTGACGGTTAAGTTATAAACAATGGCTTTTAGTAGTGTTTTTTTGTTGTTGTTTGTTTGTTTTTTGGTTTTTTTGTGTTTGAGACTGAGTCTCGCTCTGTCTCCCAGGCTGGAGTGTGCAATGGCGCCATCTCCACTCATTGCAAGCTCCACTTCCCGGGTTCATGCCATTCTCCCCTGCCTCAGCCTCCCGAGTAGCTGGGACTACAAGCGCCCACCACCATGCCCGGCTAATTTTTTTTTGTATTTTTTGTTTTAGTAGAGATGGGGTTTCATCATGTTAGCCAGAATGGTCTCGATTTCCTGACCTCATGATCCACCCACCTTGGCCTCCCAAAGTGCTGGGATTATAGGCGCGAGCCACCGCACCCAGCCTTTAGTAATGTTTTAACTTATTTATAATTTGGGATTTAAACATAGATGAATATTTTATCTTTTTTTAAAGGTAGATGACTGCAGTGAACTGAGTATAAAGAGTACTCTGTATTATTTTCTGTGAGAAAAGTAAAATAGAACCTACCAGCCACAAGAAGATACTGTGGGCTGGGCGCAGTGGCTCAAGCCTGTAATCCCAGCACTCTGGGAGGCCCAGGCGGGCGGATCATGAAGTCAGGAGACTGAGACCATCCTGGCTAACACGGTGAAACCCCGAATCTACTAAAAATACAAAAAATTAGCCAGGCGTGCTGACGGGCGCCTGTAGTCCCAGCTACTCGGGAGGCAGAGGCAGGAGAATGGTGTGAACCTGAGAGGCGGAGCTTGCAGTGAGCCGAGATCACGCCACTGCACTCCAGCCTGCGCCACAGAGTGAGACTCCATCTTAAAAAAGAAAAGAAGAAGATACTGTGGAGTCAGTTATTACTCTTTTCCAGAAATTATTTTCCTTTTTTTCATATTTTAAAAATTTTTAGTAGAGGTGGAGTCTCACCATGTTGCCCAGGCTGGTCTCAAACTTCTGGGCTCAAGCAGTTCTCCCAGTTGGCCCCCAAAAGTGCTGGGATTAGCAGGCATGAGCCAACATTCCTGGCCCCCAATTTTTTTCCGTTTCTTTTACAAACCTTATTTTAAACTGGTT